ATTCATTATTTCAAATAGTTATCATTTTGTGTGTGTGATGAGAAAATTTGAATATACACTCTTAGCAAATTTCAAGTACACAAAACAGTATTACTATGGTCACCATACTATATAGATCTCTAAAACTTATTTCTTTTGCATAACCAAAAGGAATACCCTTTTTTCTTACCCTTTGACCAACATCTCTCCATTTCTTCCATTCTACTTCTGCCTGCCCATGGCAACCATCATTCTACTCTCTGTTTCTATGAGTTCAACTTTTTTAGATTCAACATATAGGTGAGATCATGTAGTATCTGTCATTCTGTGCTTGGCCTATTTCACTTCACATAAAGTCCTCCATATCCATCTATGCTGTCTCAAAGGGCAAAATCTTCCTCTTTTTTAAGGATGCGTAATATTTCGTGGTATATATACACCACATTTTCTGTATCCATTCATCCACTGATGAACACTTAGATTAATTTCCTATCTTGACAATTATGAATAACACTGTAATAAATATGGGATTGCAGATGTTACTCTGACATACTAATTTTATTTCTTTTGGGCATATACTCAGAAGTAAGATTTCTGGACCATATGAGAGTTCTACTCTTATTATTTTGAAAGACCTCCATACTATTTTTTATGATGGCTATATCAATTTACATTACCATTGACAGTGTGCAAGGGTTCCTTTATCTCCACATCTTTGCCAACACTTGCTATAATGTCTTTTTGGTGATAACCATTCTAACATACATTAAGTGATATGTATTATTGTGGTTTTGATTTGTTTTTTCCTAATAATTAGTGGCACTTAATGTTTTATATAGACCTGTCGGTCATCTGTGTGTCTTCCATTAATAAGTGTCTATTCAGGTCTTTGTTCAGTTTCAGTGCGGTTGTTTCCTTAAATCGAGTTTAGTTCCTTATATACTATGGATTTTAACCTTTTACTTGATATATACTTTACAAATATTTTCTTCCATCCATAGGTAATTTGTGTCTTCTATTAATTATTTCTTTGGAGCACAAAAGATTTTTTAGTTTCATGTAATCTCATTTGGCTATTTTTGCTTTCACTACCCGTCCTTTGGGGTCATATCTAATAAGTCAGTTTACTCAAACCAATATCAAGAAGCTTTTCCCCCATTCTTTCTTCTAATAGCTTTTAGTTTCAGGTTTTAAATTTAAATCTTTAATCCATTTTGAGAAGATTTTAAAAATATTTATAAGATAGAGTCCAATATCATGCTTCTATATGTGGATATTCAGTTTTCTCAACATCATTTATTGAAGAGATTGTCTTTTCTCCTATTGTGTATTATTGGCAACATTTTGGAAAATCAATTGGCTGCAAATGCATGAATTTACTTCTGTGCTCTCTGTTCCATTCATCTGTTCCATGTCTGTTTTTATGCTGGTACCATACTGTTTTGCTTACTATAGCATTATAGCATATTGAAATCAGGTAGTGCAATACCTTCAGCTTTGTTCTTCTTGCTCAAGATTGTATTTCTGTGCAAAATGCCATAGGGATTTTGATAGGAATTGCTTTTAATTTGCAGATAACTTTACGTAATAAGAAAAATGTTAATTTTGTATTTTCTGAACACTTTCCATTTAGCGTTCTAGTTTGAGATTTCTTCAACACTTCTCATCAAAGTTTTATTGTTTTCAGTGTATGGACCTTTGACCCCCTTGGTTAAATTTATTCCTAAATATTTTGTTCTCTTTGATGCTAATAAAAAGAGATTTGGTTTCTTAATTTGATTTTTGGATAGTATATTATTAGTATATTGAAACACTTTTCTTTTTTGTATTTTGGTTTTGTATTTTGCCAATTTACATAATTAATTTATTAGCTCCAATAATTTTTATGATGGAGTCTTTACTTTTTTTGTATGGAAACAAACAAAATAGACTCAAAGCATCAACTTTTATCATTCTTCTTATTATTTTATTGTCATTATTACCATTTCTAGCTCTAAAGTCTGCTCATATCTTTTCCTATTTCAATGTTTGCTTTTTCTTAATTATGTGTATGACCTCTGCTGCATATATTCTAGATATGAATCATTTTTAGTCAAAATTTTGTCATAATCTTCTTCCAGTCTCTTGTCTTCAAATCAGTTTATGGTATCATTTGTACCATTTCAATCTTTTTGTTAGATTGACTTTCATTATCCCAACATAGTTAAAGTTTAACAATTTTTAACATATATTTTTATATCTTGTTTTAAACATTCTTTCTATTCTGAGGTTAAAAAAAAATAAAACAAACTGTCTACATATTAATAAAAGTATTGATTTTTTTTTTCTCATCTCTCCCAGACACTGAAAGTTTTTAATTTTCTTCCTCATTTAGGCCATGAAGGGTTTATCTAACTTTTTATTTCTTTTCCATGTAAAAAGCTGGTTTTCCTAACCACTTTGAAGGGTCCTTTTGCCAGTGATTTCCAGTGTTACCTCTTATTTAGTCAGGTAGCTGTTTGTATATGACTGATCCTTTTGTTTATGAACTTTCTATGGGAAGAAAATCTTATTTGTTTATCTTTGTGGCCCTACTAATTAGCGTGGCCTAGTTAACAATAAAGTTTTTCAAAGCGGAATGTCATTTGAATTGGAGCTCGACAGAAAATTTACAGTTCTCCAAGAGCACATGACTAGGACATAAGTTTTTCTTTTAATATTTGGTTTAAGAAATATGTATTGAAAGCAAATATAAATATAATAACTATTTTCCTATCTACTATACCACTCTAAATTTCTTAAGGGCTTGCATTTTCAATTTATGTTTGAATAACTGTTAAACATGAGATCTTTATGTTAAAAATTATTTTTGTTATTCATTTAACAAAAGCCAATTATTCAGTATCTAATTTGCAATGCACTATAGTTCAAGGCATAGGGTATAAAGTCAGCCAGGTCATATCTTCTATCCTCATGAAGCACATCACCTTTTCAGGGATAGGTGGATGAAGAAGTAACTGATGTAATAAGTGCTCTAGGAGGGATATGTATAAAGTACAACATAATATAGTGAAGGAAGAGTTGGCTTTGCAATAAAGAGCCGGAGGAGTCTTCATTGAAGTGATCATGACTTAGTTAAATCTCCATAATGAAATTTAAATTCACTAGGCAGAAAAAAAAAAAAACAAAACACGTGTTTTCTTACCAGTGGACTGACAAACGCAAAGTCACAGAGGCCCGATGGCACATGGCATGTTCAGGAAATAGCAAATAACTTTTATAGCTAAAGCAAAGACATCAGGGATGGGGAAAGGAGCTGAAGATTAATCTGAAAAAAATAGATTCGTGTCAGACTTTGAAGAGATTTGTATGAAGAAGTTGGTCATAAATCTATGGGCAACAGGCAATCACTGAAATTTTGAAATAGGCACATCACGTGATCAAACTTTTATTTCAGGAAATAACTGATGTCAGGATGACAGATGGACTGAAAGGCATAAAGACTAAGACATACTAAAGTTTATTTTTTGTAGACAGAGCAAGAAATGGATTTCTGGGTTTCTGTAATAAAATCTTCACTTGTTTTCTTGCTTCTATCTTTGCCTCTTATAGGATAATCATGACACAGCAGCCAGAGCTATTCTTTTAAAAATCAAACCAGGTCATGTCACTTCTCTGCTCAACTCTTGCAATGATTCTTCAAATCGCTCAGAGTAAAAGATAAAGTCTTTATAATCAATAACTTACAAGCTCCCATCACCCGTCTGCCCTTGTCTCTTACTCTTCTTTCCTTGGTTCCCTCATTCTAGCCTCGCTGGCCTCCTTGCTAATTCTCATAAATGCTAGATATGCCCCATCTTAGGATCTTTGTCTCATAAATGCAGAGTTAATTCCCTTATTGCTTTTAAACCTTGACTCAAGGGTCACCCTCTCAGTGAGGGCTTCCCTGGTCACCCTATTCAAGATTGCAAACATCCATCTCTTCCTAGCACTCACAATCGTCTATGACCTGCTTCATATTTCCTCCCAAAGCATTTGTTATCTTCTAACATATTACTCAATTTATTCTTTAAATTATTCTATTGTCTTTCTGCCTTGCTAGAGTTTAAGGCAGGAATCTTCTCCTTTGTTTACTAATGTGCCTAGAACTTTGTCTGGTACATAGCAGGCTCTTAATAGAATTAATATTTTCAATGAGTAGAATGATAAGGGTCTAAGACGGTAAGATAGTGACAAAGGAGAAGTTGGATTGAACAGTTTGGAAATGAATCTAGTGTGATTGTGTATGGGACTTAGTAACTGATTTAATATGATCATTACGTGAGATGAGGGAATTTACCTATTTGGCTTTGTTGAATCAGTGGATTATAGTGTGATTAGCCTATATTCTTTTATTTCCAGTAAGAACAGAAAAATTAGTTTCTTTATTGATTTTAAAACCATGTAAAGACTATATAAGGTATATTAAAGTTTTTTAAACTCTCTTATAATCTCCAGCTATACAAATATGTATTGTCTTTGCTTTAGTGTTTGATAAATATTTTCATATTTCCTTGAAAGAGACAGAGAGACAGAGACATAGAGAAAGAGATGGAAGAAGATAGGCTCTCAAATTATCATCTACCTTCTTCAAGTACTACATGTTAAATAAAGAAAAATAGATCCAAATTACCCTCTATTGCCCTTGCTTCTCTCTTTTTTACTATGGGACCATTGTCCTCATGATCCTGGTTATCATGAACCTTAACTCTTACATGGGTGCAATTACTTGCTCTTGCAATAGTCTGGTGCCCTATGAGAGCACAGGACCATGACTTTTGTACTCTGAACAGTGTGACCGGAGAAGAGGGAAAAAAAGAGCTTCACTCTAGCTTGGATTCAGAGCTGCTTTCAAGATCCAGCTTTGTTAACGTATTAGCAACAATCCCTAAAGCAACTTGTTTAACCTCATAAAGAATCAGTTCCGTCCCGCCTCCGCCAGGGCCGAGCCGCTGTTCAGGTGACAGTTGAGGATGGCCGGAGCTGATCGACGTCCTTGAGGAGGACAAGGAGCTGGAGAAGGTGGCGTGTGCTGTCCTGGGCAGCAGTGACTCCGAGAAATGCTCCTACTCTCAGGGCTCAGCAAAGAGACAAGCACTACCGGCCTGTAGCACCCCAGAGGGAGAAGAACCAGCAGGAATTTGTTTAGCTTGCAGTTACGAATGTCATGGAAGACACAAACTATTTGAGCTATACACAAAAAGAAATTTTCGTTGTGATTGTGGAAACAGCAAGTTTAAGAATTTGGAATGCAAATTATTTCCTGACAAAGCAAAGGTAAATTCTGGCAATAAGTATAATGATAACTTTTTTGGATTGTACTGCATTTGCAAGAGACCTTATATATCCCGAAGACGAGATTCCAGATGAGATGATCCAGTGTGTAGTCTGTGAAGACTGGTTCCACAGAAGGCATCTTGGTGCCGTTCCCCCTGAGAGTGGGGATTTTCAAGAGATGGTATGCCAGGCCTGCATGAAACGTTGTTCTTTCTTGTGGGCTTATGCTGCACAATTGGCAGTAGTCAAACTATCCACTGAGGATGATGGAATGGTATGGAATATTGGTGGAATAGGTGATCAGGAAGTTATTAAACCCAAAAATGGAGAGCATCAAGATAGTACCCTCAAAGAGGATGTTCCAGAACAGGGAAGGGATGTCCAGGAGGTTAAAGCAGAGAACAGTGAACCATGTGCTAGCTCTAGTTCTGAATCTGATCTCCAGACAGTGTTTAAGAATGAAAGCCTCAACACAGAATCAAAATCTGGCTGCAAACTTCAGGAGCTTAAAGCTAAGCAGTTTATAAAAAAAGACACTGCCACCTATTGGCCCCTGAACTGGCATAGCAAGTTGTGCACCTGCCAAGACTATATGAAAATGTATGGAGATCTAGATGTCTTGTTCCTGACAGATGAATACGGCACAGTTCTGGCTTATGAAAACAAAGGCAAGATTGAGCAGGCCACTGATAGGAGAGATCCTCTAATGGACACGCTTAGCAGCGTGAACAGAGTCCAGCAAGTGGAATTCATTTGTGAATACAATGATTTGAAGACTGAACTTAAAGACTATCTCAAGAGATTTGCTGACGAAGGCACCATTGTTAAGAGAGAGGACATTCAGCAATTCTTTGAAGAGTTTCAGTCAAAAAAGAGAAGAGTGGAAGGGATGCAGTGTTACTGCAGCTAGAGTGGAGAGTGAGGCTTTCTCATTCAGGCCAATGAAAATGCCGCTTCCTATTCTTGTAATAATAAAAGAGGTGTGGTTCACATTTGGCCCCCTTTCCATCCTCTGTCTGGAGAGGCCTCATGCTCCCTTCGTTCTCCTTAGCTGCAGTAGCCACAGTGTGGATGCTGACTTCACAGCCAGCATCCTCTGTGACTTAGCAAACACAGCTCATTCCACAGATCTCCATTGTACACCTACTCCAGTGCACCCAGGATTATTTGCATATGTTTTTAAAAGTTTGATTTGGTTTTGAGAAAGCAAATTGGTTTCTTGTTTAATGATCTGTTATTTCACTCCCAGATGAGTGTGTTTTGCCACAGAGCTATTGCCTTCTATGACCTCCTCTGCAGGCATCACAGAAGGCTCTCTTCCTGTCGCCTAGAATCTAAACAGGTCCCCTCACCCCTATGATTGTGGTGCCTTGGGTCAAAGTTTCCTCACGCCTGGTCTGCTCCTTCCTTCACATCCCTGCTCTCTGAGGTTTGGTCATAGTTTAGAAAGGATCTTAGAACTTGTTTTCTCTGAGCCCAGCCTCCAGAATAGCCAGGACTGATGGTTTTCTAGTCTGGGTGTCCATCACAGGTGGGAAATTAATGGATGACAGTATTGAGGAAGGAAACCTTTGTTACAAATTTTGCTAATACATTTAAAGTGAAATTTTCTTTGATGATTCCACTGGCACTACAATTAGAATTTCAGTACTGTAGCGCTCACAGGGCTTCCTGGAGAACATTTGCCAGTATACTAGTCCCTTTTCTGCTGCCTAGAAAACAGACCGGGTCTCACCCCTGTGAAATCTTGGTGGTTTTTGAAGTCCTCTGGATTTCTTGATATTATCAGGGATATTCATAAGCATATATCAAAAATGGACCTATTATGATATTCTGTTATGAAAATGTTATTAGAACTTCAATAAATTATTATTTTTTCCCCTTGAATCTGTGCTGAAGAAAACCGATCCTGAGTTAGCTTACGCATAATAAGCAGGACAGTGAGCCCAGTTTTGGAAGAGACAGACTGTGGAAGAGATTCCAAACAAGGCCCAAGGCTGCACAAATGACGAGTTTTATGTATATAATGTTAATGTACACCTCTGCTTCCCTAACAACTATGAGATTTTTTTTTTTTAAGATCCTCGTGGAAGGTTGTATAGTGCCCCACATTTGAGGGTAGTCCTTTCAGTTGATGTGACACCTCCTTATTATTGATATGAGATGCCCCTCAGTCTATGTGGGAAACACCCTGTGATCTATATAGAGCCTCAGCTTCTCTCTCCCTCTGGGGAAACAGTAGGAGACACACCTTGATGTATGTTAACAAAAGCATTTGAGGCTGTGGGCCACTCATGTATATTAATATTCCTTTTGTGTCCAGCATTCATGTATTTATTCGAGTGCCCAATCCCTGGACGAGATGAACTATGCCTTACAGAAAGTCAAAGCCTCAAAGAAATGATACAACCATGTTCTCTGGCATTCAGTCTCTAGTAACAGATCCTCACGAAGGGTGGTATCTGTAGCTGGAAGGTCTTGTGGACGCAGTACATGCTGGTGAGTCCTGAACTGGCCTGCAGAGGGTTCTGTTCAAAGGCTCAGGTGTCTTTGAGGTTGTTTATCAAGCTTGGGAACTCTTCCAAGTCTAAGCATGTTTCGAACCCTTTCTGCAGTGTTGCACTATTAGTATACTATCACGTCCTGGAAGTTTTTAATCTTCTCAAATATCCGATGTGACTACCAGAAAGTCCCTTACTTCTTGTGATCGATCACGACCAAGTCTTTGAGGTGATGTTACATGCAGCACAATAATACCAATCAGTTATCCCAGCGCCAAAGGGCTCATTTTATGAAAGGTACTATTCCATCTTTCACATTAACTGGAAACCTCTTTTTTTACCTGTTATTCACAACTAGTTTTCTTATTGACTATATTGGACCATCTCTTCTTGTAGAGACTGATTTTGGCCAACATATTAATGCATGTTTTATGCAAAACACAAATATGATATTAGTTGCTTTTAAGGAATTCTGGCATTGTATGTGCATTTTTGTAGAAATTGTTACAGGACTTATAATTACATACTTGACTCCGATCAGGTTTCTGTAAAATTTAAATAAAACCAATACAAAAAAAAAAAAAAAAAAAGAATCAGTTCCTCTCTCGGTAAAATGATACTATTACATAGTATTGTTGTAGTGAGGACATTGTAGTTTTTGAAAATCATGAAATACAATAGATGTAGAAGATGCAGTCATCATTCTAAAGAGCAAAGTGGGCTCATAGACAAGGAATCCAGTAGAGACATTTATGTTACTTGGTCTTTAGAAACTATTCTATTTGTGGGGGAGGAGAATAAAAACCTAGTTTTAGTTTTAAAATTTTTTCAACCAAGTCTGGTACTAGGCTCCAGTGCTATTTTTCTACTAGACAGTCACAGACTGAGTTGTCACATTTATATTTTTGCCCCAAAAGTTGCCTTGGGATATAGCCATTCAGGGATCCCTCTAAATTTTATATTAGCTCATATCAGGATATTTCCTGACTAGAAACACTGCTGAATGACATCTCTAAGGGAGTTAAGTGTGTTTAAAAATTAATCAGTACTCTAATTTCACCTTCAGAATATTTGCTAGAATCTGCGAATGTGTAGTCACGAATATAGCATCAAACTATTTCTTATTAAATCTAAGATTGAGTTTTCCATCTTGATTGTATGCTTGGAAATTTCCATAATCAGTAGTCCTTTTTTTCTGTAATTTTCATTGCTAAAGTTCTTCTGATATTACATAAGGAAAGTCGATAGTAATCTTTTCCGTTGTTTTGTGCTTATAAAAGTCAATAACTGGAGCAATAAGACATCACAGGTAAAACAGGACTACTTTGAACCTCAAAGAACGAAGGCATGTTAATGCAGTAGAAAGTTCACTGAACCAGAATACCAAAGGTTCACATTTAGCTCTAATCTTCCGCTAGCTAGATCCCAGGCCAATCATTTTACCTTTCTGTGAATCAATTCTTTACCTAAAAAGTAAGCAAATAGACTACATAATTTGTATCTTTTACCTACAAAGTTTTATGCAAATTATCTCTTCCTGGAAGAGGAATGGCAATTAGGGGAAAAAGAATTGTTTTAAAAGCCTGCTAACTGAAAGCTAGCCAAAGATGTTTGAAGCAGATACCATCCTGATAACTTGTAGCCATTGGAGAAGAGACCATTTACTAATTGTCCAATAGAATTAAAAATAGCAGCACAGAGAGGCAATTTGATTATGTTTATAAAATTCCCTCTCTAGGTAGTATAAAATTCAGTAGCCGGTGATATCGGAAAGCATGAACTTGTTTTGGCTTCTTTGTGAAACTACTTTTGATATGAGAGTTTGTCAGAAGAGGTTAGTGGTGATTTACATTCTCCATTTCTAATTATTTTCCCCATTTTAGATCTCCTGAACAACTCTTGATAAAACTACAGTGGAAGTTTCACAACACCTTCAATATCTATTTCTTAAGGCTCTTCAGTTAATTCAAAACCAAAGAAAAATCTGATATCCTATTTAAAAACATTGCATGTCATACTAAGTATTTATCTGAACAACAGAGGGTTTCAGATAAACAAGCAATAAAAGCAGTATGTTCAGGGAAGATAGGAAGAGTAATAGGAATTTCATTTTTAACCAATTCTTCTGATGCTGTTATTATTATTATTAGTTTTTGGAAATTCTCCTTCATCAAACAATGCATTCTGGGGCATTCTGGCAGAGCCCATATAGAGTCAATGATAGACATTGTAAAAAGTCCTTATGCTTGTTTTTCAATGGAAAATCAAAACGATCCCCACACCAACAGCTACCAATATGGATTGTGAATAAAAACAAACAATAGCTCAGAGTAATTGTGTGTGACCACTGTATTTCTTTCATAGACTCATTAATTCATTCAGGAAACATCTACTGACAACTTGTTACATATCAGGTACAGTGCTCTAACTTGAAACTGTTCACATTAGACCTTGGGTTATGACTTTATAGGCTACTAGGTACTTTTATCTAAAAAGAATAATTGTTTTTCTGGTATCTTCAACATATGCCATCTATTGCTGTTTTTTTCCTGATGGTGACTTCACATAATGTTGCCTTATGTTGTACTTATCAATATTCTTAAAACATTTATTGGCTCCATCTTGCTTATTACCAACTCGTAAGCTTTCTGCAACACTCCACATTTTACAACTGCATGGAGAAAGTCATTTTTCCACAAAGTTCTTATTTTGAAATTTTTCAGGCCAATTGCAAAGTTGAAAGAATAGTATGATATAAACACCCAGATAGTCTCCAGCTAGGATTACTAATTATTAACATTGTGCCTTTTTCAGTCTATTTCTATATACACATATTTTTGCTGAACCATTTTTTAAAAAGCTGCATAAACGATGACTCTACTTTTGCACAAAGCTTTGAAAATTTACAACCAAAAAAAGGTATGGGACATTTTCTACATAATTGCAATAATTCCATAATTATAATTCTTGAAAAGCAAAAATTGATCAAACAGATTTATCTAATATACAGTCCATTATAAAACTGCCTCAGTTGTCCTGGGAATGTTTTTTATAGCTATTTCATTCTTGTGTTGAGCCAAAATTCAATTAAGGATCACATGCTATAAGCTAACTGTTATAACTCTTTACTCTCTTTTCATCTTAAGTAGTATCCTGCTTTAAAAAAGATTATCTTTATGTATTGAACCTTGAAGAATCCAAGTCAGCCACTTTTGTGATATGATTCATCCTTCTCTAATAATGCTACAGAGCTGGTGTTGGACCCTGGTCAATGTGTTTCACTAGAAGTCACATATGGTAAATTTGATCTATTATTGGTAATGTTTGTTATTTTTTCTGTGGCAAAGGCATTTTATGCCATCTGTAATTATTTTTAAACCCTATTTAAAAAATTTTGTAATAAATCTTTTTTTTAAATAATTTACTAATGGTTTGCAGAAGACATTGATGACTTTTCACTGTTTTGAAAATATAAACATCTTCTTACATCCATTACTCTTCTTGCACTGGGTAGATCACTTACCACTATCTTCTTGTTTACCCATGATTCTGTCTAGAATGACACGAATTCTTGGGCATGCAATTGTGAAATCATTTTTAACTTTTGACCAAGTGTAATATCTATTAAATTCTCATATAGTGATTATATCAATCTGATAAAATAAAGCTGGGATTAATTGTTGAAAATAAGAAATATTGAACAGGAATAAAGTCTAAGTCTACCTGTTGCATGATACAAAATGTTGGCATAGTTTCTAATATATTTTTTTTCCTGGGAACTAAATCTTAGTAACTAGCAAATCCAGGATATCTGTTTCTCCATTATCTTCAATAGATGTAGTAAAAAGGTAAAATAATTTTATGCTGCTTTCTTAAGTAATACTCTGGAACTATAATGTTGTGTTTTCTCAGTTGTTGACCTCAAATATCTTTTCAGGAAGAGAACATAATTATTTAGTTCTTTCTTTCTTTTCTTCTTTTTCTTTCTTTCTCTTTTTCTCTTTCTTCCTTTCCCTTCCTTCCTTTCTC